GAATGGATATATTCTCAAATATACAGTTTCCTGATGAAACAAAAACTGACCAACAGAAATTTACATACTTAATGAAAAATTCTAACACAAATGTAATCAAACTTGTTGGAGAATTTATACACAGCTCGTTCTTAATGAGAAACGAGAAAGATACTTAACAAAAACACTAAAATCTATCATTTATTATTTGCTATAGTTATTTTGTTATTTTGTTTTTTAATATCTTACTTTTGTTGCTATAAACTGATGGAAACACTGTATTTCTAAGGATGCAATAAATTATCTTTATTATTATTATGTATTGTACTTTATTACTAACATTTTATTGCTGTCAACCAATGGAAATTATTTCTAAGGATGCAATAAATTCATTATTATATTATATATTTACTCATCACTCATCAAATATTGATAATTAAATTTATTATATAATCTGGACAGAAGAAAACATTGATTTCTCTTGCCATTATAATGCATTTTTTCTATCCTTGTACCTTGAATGTTTGAATCTTAATAATAAATAATAAATGATTTTGCAATATTTGTTTGCAAATATTGTATTCAAAGACATTTATTTTGTATTTACATTTTCATAGGGTTCATATATTTTTCTTTTTGACTTTGTTGTGTACTCCGTTCTTTTTGTTGATTCTTTTGTCAGTTGTTGTCAGTCGTCTGTTTTGTCTTGTGAATTTCTCTATATGACTTTCGCACAAAAAATCAACTGCGGTTTAAAAGGTACATGTATATTATTTTCACGTTGCAGTATATTGTATCCAGTATGATTCTAATGTGAATTTTGTTCATTAATGCTGTGTGGGGACTATATTTAGGGCATACTGGTACAAATCTGGCAGCAATCTGTCAGCTGTCGCTGTCCAGCAGCGATATGATTTTACATGCAGAATTTGAGAATCCCAAATTTAAACACGTTACATCGAAATAAACACTAAAAACAACTAACCTAGAAAGCTTTTGAATCATTGATCACCACGAGTGATGCAATTTGTGTTTCCAATTATTTACTTCTATTAAAGAGTAATACAAACGCTCAAGTGAATGTTGTTGAGTTCGTGAGTGTGCATCTTTTACTTACAGTGGTGTGAATATCACTACAATCAAAGCTATGCTGAACAGTAAGTCCATTTCGGGCTAGTACCATTACTATATTTTGGACTATTTTTTCCAGAGATGTTCCAATAAGGAATTGTTGAAAATATTGGATTGGCATATCAAAATGTTCTATATTAACCAAAAAACATCATCTTGACAATAGACTCACCTAATAGAGCAAATGTGGTAATCAAATGTTTGTTGGTAATATCTTTGTTGATTTTAGACTAATTTCCCATGGCATTGATACTGTGCTTTTAATGAATTATTTGATTATTTTTTTTTATTTGTAGTTGAGATTTATTGCCAGTGATACGGAAGCTCATATATTGAATTCTTGGAAACAAGATGAACAAAGCATAACACAGGTAAGGCCAAGATGAACAAAACATAACACAGGTAAGGCCAAGATGAACAAAGCATAACACAGGTAAGGCCAAGATGAACAAAGCATAACACAGGTAAGGCCAAGATGAACAAAGCATAACACAGGTAAGGCCAAGATGAACAAAGCATA